AACGGGTTTCAGCCACGTAGAAAAATCTAAAGATAACAATGAGTGGATTAAAAACCAACCTGGTCTAAAGCGCATTTTCTGCGAATAAGGAAACAGGTATAGCTTACAATTGTTAGGTCTATGATCAATACCTCACTGTATAGTATAGATACCATAGGTCAGATCAGAGCATCAAGCCAGATCGAATTGCATTCGTGATGCTACCGCAAGTGTAATGCTTGCATTCTGTTTACTTTATATTTTATTTTTAACATGAGAGTAGCCTGTACACAGGTTAGCGTGAAAGCAGTCTAATAAGCACGAGGTTAGTACAGATTTACATCGTGATACAACATTGGGTTCATTTTTCAGGTAGGTGTTGTGATAAGTAGCTAGCAGTATTTTGGACACTACTCCATTATATACACTAACGGTTCATGCAGTTTGCATCAATTTTGGCTACGAAAGATAAGTATAAAGCCGACGACTAATTGACAGCGTTTGGTGCTATTGATTTTGGAAATATGAGTTTCAACCAGGCTGCACAGGGGACCCGAACATTAACTAGCTTCTATTGGGGTTTTAACAGAAGTCGATAAAACTTAAAATACTAATGGAATAGACAGATGTCTAATTGCTAGCTGTGGCGTTGCATAAAGTTCATGTGTCTTTATACTTCCNTTTACTTTATATTTTATTTTTAACATGAGAGTAGCCTGTACACAGCCTAGCGTGAGAGCAGTCTAAACTCTGAAGCAATACGCGAATTACCCGGAATTTATTCTCGCCGACTGGTTTAATGGACTGTAAGCTACTTTCTCTGAGAATTGCCTTGCCAAAAAGGACTTAGACTGAAATGATATGAGTGACCTGGGGTTTTATGTTAGCTACATGTCGGTTACATGTGTATCGTGGAAATCCACAATAAGGATATTATTTCCTTTCCCAATTTCCCAGAGGGACCAGACCTCCCCGGGGGACCAGGCGATCACAAGCACCAGGCTGCTACAGATTCACATCATGATACAACATTTGGTTCATTTTTCAGGTAGGTGTTGTGTTAAGTAGCTAGCAGTACTTTGGACACTACTCCATTCTATACACTTAACGGTTCATGCAGTTTGCGGGTTAATCAATTTTGGCTACGAAAGACAAGTATAAAGCCGACGACTAATTGACAGCGTTTGGTGCTATTGATTTTGGAAATATGAGTTTCAACCACGCTGCACAGGGGACCCGAACATTAACTAGCTGCTCTTGGGGTTTTAATAGAAGTCGATAAAACTTAAAATACTAATGGAATAGACAGATGTTTAATTGCTAG